TAACAGGTCACAGTGCTTGCGCTCTAGGAGAGGACATGGTCGGGAGGAGAGCCGAGGGAGCTCAGGAAGCTCCTGTTCCTGAACTCAGGCGGCGAAGACTTTGGAAAACCCCCTTAGGATGACCAAGAGTGAGTTTTCCCATCTGCAAAGGAAGCCCTGTAGTTGGACCCACGTTCGAGATATAAGAATGTCTCTAGGGCGCCTGGGTGGCTCAGTTGGTTAAGCGACTGCCTTTGGCTCAGGTCATGATCCTGGAGTCCCGGGATCGAGACCCGCATCGGGCTCCCTGCTCAGCAAGGAGTCTGCTTCTCCCTCTGATCCTCTTCTCTCTCATGCTACCTCTCATTCTCTCTCTCTCAAATAAATAAATAAAATCTTAAAAAAAAAAAAAAAAAGAATGTCTCTAGCTACCCACAAGTATGGCAAGAAAAATCACATGCACTCAGAGGAGCAGAATTCCCTGGGCCATGTGCAAGGCCGTGTGACCATGGGTCCAGAGGAAGAGGTCATACTCCCCACATACAGAATAGACTGCGTTAGTACTTTGGTTCATAACAGGAGAATTATTTCTGGCCCTGATTGCAAAGTCCACGGTGTTTTTGTCATACTTATATGCCAATAACATAAAACCTCAGGTGGGAAGAACAGAAGTCAGATTCATGTGTCTAGATACTAACAACGTTTCTGAGGATAAGTGTTTGTTATGCTGATTAGCCGCATGAGAGGCCTGGTGGTTCCAGCGCACAGAATGGTGAGTGACCTTGGATCCCCGCTGGTCCATATATGGGGGTGTGAACGTATTTATCGTCAGTGTTGAGAAACTGATGGAACACCTCTATCAGATAATGGAAACCATCATTCATTTTTCTCATTTTTTCCTTGGCTGCCAGAAAACTCAGAACACAATATCAGACTATATCCAAACCTCTGATATATCCTGGGTTTCTGGTAAAATTATGTTTCTATTTCCCTTGTGTTTTTCCTAATTTACTCTGTGATTCAACTTTTAATTGTGCAGTTGTACGTGTGTTCATCAACTACCTCAAATTGTTCATGAACTATGAACACAAATAAATACCCAGGAACAGATTATCTTTTCTTTAAGCACAAGATTTTTGAAGTAAGGTGGACCATCTAATAAAAGAAGTATTATAACATTAGCTCTACACCCTCAAATGTTGTACCAGGATCTTAAATTGCAAATTCCTTTTTCACAGTGTTGTTTCCTTTCACAGGTATTATCCGGTGGTTGATTCTCCTCTAACCTCAGTCCCAGTTTCTTACAGACCCACAGCCCTACCTCTATCACACTGAGAAAACATCACTGAGGTGGTGTGACCAGCCATTGGGGGTTGGTGCCCCACAAAGCGACAGTCTGGAATAGGGAAGGTATACTTGATTTTGATTTCTTCATTTTCTTATGCTAAAAATAAAGTTTAGCTGGTAGGCATCATTTTATCACTTGGTATCAAATGTCTTAAAAAATTTTTAAAAATTTACATTATAAATTCCCCCCATTTGCCTCAAATTACTTTTTGTATGTTCAGATAAATGGATCTGTCCACATACTAAAACACCTTTTTACTTGGCTATGAACTGACATGATATATGAATAAAATGAAGTTATATCCCTAAGAGGAATGTATTCACTGAACATTTTATTGCTAAAAGACCAAAAGGATGGGTAATTTCATCAAAACCAAGACTCAGGCTGCCACTCTTGTCATATCGGAAGAGGCTGAGTCTCAGCAGGGACAAAGCAGTAGAGGTCAATGTCACACTTGTGTTGTGGGGTGTGTGCAGGTATTTATGTGCATAAATAGCTGTGAGAGAGGAGAAACTTTGGAAGCAGGAAATCTTTTAAAGCCAAAAATAACTAAAATCATACAGATTTGAAATAGCACCAGTCATAAGATGTTAATGTATACATGAGTCTTATCTACTACAAGAAGCAACTTTTCAGTTTGAGAAATTCAAATGTCATCCCTTAGTTAAAAATTACTGGTAATATATAATCATCAGGGAAATGCAGATCAAAAACCACCATGAGCTGTCACCTCACACCTGTCAGAATGGCTAGAATCAAAAAGACAAGAAGCAACAGGTGTCGGTGAGAATGCAGAGAAAAAGGAGCCCTCATGCACCGTTGGTGGGAATGCAAGCTGGTGCCGCCACTTTGGAAAACAGTATGGAGTTTCCTCGAAAAGTTAAAAATAGAGCTACCCTACGACCCAGCAATTGCACTACTAGGTATTTACCCGAAGAAGACAGAAACACTAATTTGAAGGGATACATGCATCCCTGTTTATGGCAGCATTATCTACAGTAGCCAAGATATGGAAGCAGCCCAAGTGTTGACCAACTGATGGACGGATAAAGAAGATGTGGCATATATGTACAATGGAATATTACCCAGCCATCAGAAATGAATGAGATCTTACCATTTGCAACACTAGAAGGCTCTAGAAGGTATTATGCTAAGTGAAATAAGTCAGTCAGAGAAAGACAAATACCATACGATTTTACTCATATGTGGAATCTAAAAAAACAAAACAAATGAATAAACAAACAAAAAGCGGAAACGGACCCATAAAGACAGAGAACAAACTGACGGTTGCCGGAGGGGAGGGGGAGGGCAAAATGGGTGACAGGGAGTGGGAGGTACAGGCCTCCGCTGAGGGGATGAATAAGTCGGGGGGGTGCACAGGGGACACAGCCAATGCTACTCCAACCGTGTCGTGTGGGGATGGGTGGGGACCACACTCGGGACGATCAGGTGCAACGTAGAGCTGTCAAATCATCATGTTGTACACCTGAGACTAATCTAACATAGTGCGTCAACCATACTCAATAGAAAAGTATTGATACTGTAGAGACATCAAAAAGAAAACTCAGAAAGCTTCACTTGATGCCGCACTGACACTCCTCTTGAGAACTGACACATCGGTGACGTAAGTTTTGAGTGGTTATTGGTTTTACGTAACAAGTCTGTAAGCATCTCATTCTTAAAACCAAGGAAATAGAAGTCTGTAAATGTAAATAATTTGTCCAAACTCCGCCCCCCCCCTCAGTTGGCTAGTGGCGCCAAGGAAATCAGAACCTGTGTCCCTTCCTGGAAAATCGCTCTTCATCCACTGCCACCACATGGACTATTTCTACTAAAATACTAAGAGTTCTAATAATTACCTAGATTACGGTGCATGGCAAAACTTACGATATTATTTTAAATTAAATTAAACCATGCATTGAAAAATTGTCTAAATTAGCTGTTCCTGTGAATCTTCTCTAACATGCCACCTTCTTCACTCCTATAAGATCTGGGGTGTTCTGTGCTCACACCAGCATCATGTCTCAAAGGAAAATGAAGCCTGGCCATCTTCAAGCCATTCCCAAGCTAAGCCTCAGTTACTGTTTACACGGGGACAGAGATCTCACAGGGAGACCTCGCAGCTGAACGGGATGCACCTTGGGTAAGAATGTGCTTTGAGTGATTCTTTGAAAACTCCATGGTTTTTCCTGAAAAACTGTGATTATCAAATTATGTCTAGATGACATCTAATCCAAACTTTTTAGCCAAAAAAGTAACAGGATGATAAAATAACAGGATGGTAAAATTCAACTATTGACTAATCAAGAGATGATTAAGGGAAAAACTTGATTTTGTTCTTGTTCTGCTAACTTGTTTTTCATTGAAAATATAAGCAACATGGTTTTAAAAATTTTTAGATTAAGGATTTACATGCATATACCTTTATAAAATAACATACTTTAAAGAAACTAATTATTTAACTTACATGTTCAGTAATTTACTATAATATACAAGAGCAATAATAATATGATAAATTAATGTTTCAATCACAAAATTCCCTTAAAAACCGACCTGTCACTCCTTTGGTATGTAACAGAAGTCTGATAGCCATTTCATCATGGATGCTCATTAAAAATTCCCTATCCTTAAATGCTAGCATGGGGACTTGGGGAGTAATTTATAATTTTTCCCTTGATTTTACTGAAGGACAATCAAAATAATTGCTTGATTTCACCCATAAATTAATGTTCAGCTCAAAAGGAAATAAAACATCAGGCAGTGAAGGAAGGTCACCCCAAGGTGCGGCCGGCACACCTGCTTGAGCATCTGAGCTTTCATTACGTGGACTTGGTTCTTGATGGCTTGTTAGGATGAACGACCTTAGACCCAGTAACCTAATTTGTGAAAAATTAGCTAAAAATTTATTACAAAGCCTGTAAACATCTCTAACTCCTCATAACCAACATCTTCCATTGAAAGGTACAGCTGCATTAATATCACAGGGAAGAAATTCCTTATGGAAAAGTAAATCTAAAGATCGATCTCTTCATGACTCTTGGCCTGAAGTGTGTGTGATATAATTCTGCTGTGATGCATTTTTAGCGATAATTACCTAGCCACCTGATCTTGTAGATGTTCTCCACACCTACCTCTGTTATGGACCTAAACCTCAGTATTTACAGGAATGATATAATCATTTAAGCCTCAAAGCCTCATTAGTGTGATCTGTCCTGGACGTTAATCTCCTGCCAGGACCTTCCCCTGCAGCTGCCCAGGTACCAGCTTGGGCTTCCCTTCCCAATCACAGAAGCTGAGTTCCTGCAGGAAGATCAGGAAGGTCATACTCTCATTTACCCTCCGTGACTTACCACCATCCTGCAGCTACCAGAATGAGCAAAGGGCCAAGGACCAGCAGGCCGTCTCAGTGAAGCAGAGGGAGGTTCTTAGCACGCCGCTGTGTGTGTGGGAAAATGAGTTTAAGGCTGGTCTTAATTTGTGTTATCTTATGTGTTATCGTGAATTCTGCCTGGAGACCCTGCACGTGAAACCAAAGGCTGAGTTCACATCAGAGAGAGGAGGAAAAGACAACACTCACTGTTTTCCAAGAACACCCCCCACTCATCGTCACCCTTTGGTCTGGACCCTAGACAAGCCAGTGTATACCATACATTATGAAAGAGGCGATTGTTACCTTCTGTGTCTTGCATATTTGCCACTGACGTGACCACTGCCGTCACAGCCAGGTGTGGGACAACTGCAAAGAGAAAGAGGTAATTACACAGGGGCCGAGCTGCTGGGGGGCGGGATGAGGACACTGCTGGGGGGGGTGGGCAAGTGCGCCGCTGGGGGTGGGGGCGAGCGCGCTGCTCGGGGTGGGGAGCACTTTGGGAGCACTGGGAGGGAGGGTACACAGAAAGACAGAGAGAAGGAGGGGAACTATTAGAGCTGCTTTTTATTAGCAGGTATCCCATCAGAGCAGTCCGGTAGGAGCAAGCCGCCGGTGAGCCCGAGCGTGCCGTCTGCCCATTAAAAGGCATGGATTTTCTAAATTGCTAATGGGGATACATTTTGCCCGCAGAGCACTAACCTGAAGAGCTCTTGTATGGCTGGTTCCACGGGAACTGCAGAGAGATGGAAAACAGATAGAAATTTATCATCTATCACACATCCCCTCTCCCACAGAATGCTATCGAGAGGGTGGTGTCAGAACAGGGGTCCGAACGGACAGTGCACACAGCTCTGCAGGACGAAGGGGGCCCTGAGCAGGGCTTCCAGGGGCTTGGGGATGCGTGGACGTACCTCGAACCCCTTTGGACCGTGTACGATGGCGCTTCTCCTCGGCATCCACCTCCATCTGTGGATAGATGAGCAGGCGGTCAGTGTGGCTCCGGTCTGCGAAGGCCAGCCATGCATGCCCCCAAGCCCCAGCATTTTAGTGGCTATGAGGGAGCCCTCTATGGAAGGCGCGTGGGGAGGAAAGCATCAGGCAATCTAACTGTGTTACTTAAAAAATCAAAGCAGACCTCGACCTTGCAGGGAACACATCATCGGGAGGCCCCGCCCTCGGTTACGGGGCAGACTGACGAAGTTTCAGGGGCAGACTGTTCACCCTTTTCAAAGACAGATCAGGATATATCTGGGTTAATTCTGAGCTGCCTAATTTGTACCAAGAACATAAGAGGTAGATGTTACGTGTGCAAGCAGGTACATACATGTAGTCTGAAACCGAAAGTGTAACCCGATCACATCGTTAAGAGAAGAGGAGGTGGGTGCAGAAGGAGGACGTGTTTAACTTGGGGGCTGACTCTGTGTCATTTAGGTGCAGATACAATCGCCGCCCACTTTGTTCTAAGTTGTCATGTTATGCATCCTGGGGACACAGGCCCTCTGCCCATAGTAACGGACGCAGCTCACACTGGAGATTACAAAGCATTTTCCTGTATTACCTTGTCCGGTCCTCATGACGATTTTGTAAGAAAGGTATCTTTGTTACATCCATTTTATAGATGTGACTTGCCCAAGTTCATCCAAGTAGAATTTTTGGTCCAGGGCCCTGAAACCAAGCCACCTGGCTTATGCATCATCTTTAAGCTGAGGGACCACTGCTGAACAGGGGAACATGGTGACAGCGTGTTGGCTCACCCAATACTTCCACACGTATGTGTAACGTATACACGGCAAAGCTGCCCAGTAGGATACCTTCACTCGACACAACAGCGGGGCTGCTGAGAGAAGAGCCGTAAGGATGAAACTCCTCCGATCACAAGGACAGGACATTTCACCCCCATCTGTGATGCCCTTTCCTGTCCAAGGTACCCCAAGGCAGAAGACTGGGGCAACCCAAAATGTCTTCCGTGCCCAGTTCACTTCCCCCACAGGTTAGGATGAGGAGGACATGATGGGGTGCAGAAGGGTCGTGAGATGCACGGGGCTCTGTCAGACTCACATGAAGTAGAGAACGGGCAGATCTGCTCTAACAACGAACTGCTCATAAGGCGCCATCCTGCACAGAGGCAACACTGAGGTGTCCCTGCGTTAAACCGGCAGCCCCCGATGGAGTGTTCCTGACAACTGACCACCAGCTGATTATTTATTAATACTGTTTGCTGAGTCTGGCAGCAGCAAAGGAAAAAATACATATAATAAAAACCACAGTTCATTTAATGAGCTTAATATCTTTTAATGGGAGATGTGTGTGCAGACCTAGGATTGTGAGAGATTCAATAAAACAGGAATTTGAGGGAAGGAGGAGCTAGTGTGAGGTGGGTCACTGAGGAAAGACTTCATCGGGAAAGTTGTGGGATTTCAGAACTGTCTGTTGAAAAAGGGAAGATTGTGTTTTAGCTTGTGTGGAGACACTGGAAGCTGTTGCGCGAACGAGTGAGGGGGTCTGTTTTCTGGGAAGCGGGCAGGTCAGGGGGTTGGCACAGACCAGGAGAGGCAGGCTTGATGCACAGTGCAGGGCTGAGGCCACAGGGAGCGTGGGACAGGGTGCTCTGAGCGCCTGGCAGACCCGGGAGGGGCCCCTGTTGACCCAGCAGGTGTTCTGGAGCATGTGGGCTGGGGAGGGGCCTCACAAGTGTATTTTAGAAAAAATTAATTTAGCGGCAGTTTGAGAGCAGGTGCAGGTGGGGAGGGGAGGCAGAGATGGGCTGTCTGAGAAGGAGCACTGTGCCGGCCTCCATGGAGACGGCAGCTCACTCCGTCCAGGGAAGACAGATGGAGGAAGAAGAACTCAAGAAATGTTTCAGGGAGAAGGAGCATGACGCAGCGGCTTGTTTGCCCCTCTTTTGGGCACCTGGCCCTCCTCTGCTATTTTAGCACAGCCAGGCTCGGGGCTGGAATCCCCCAGTGCAGGCACGGTTTGTGGATCTGCAGAATAAGGCCACAGCACCTCCGGATAACACGTCGATGCTCCGAAATCACTACTCCACATGGGAAAATTTTCCAAACACTGTAAAATTGTAGCAAAGCAGATCGGGCCCACGTGACACGAGGCAAACGTGCGCTAGCGTTTCAGGAAGGTGATGGGAAACAGACCGTGTCCCATCCTGCCATGCTGCATACCTGTCATGGGACCAGGGGTGCAGAGATAATGGGGTGAAATCCTATTCTTTAAGGAATTCAACACTGAGTGCTAACGGAGTGCCGGAGGAGATCACTAGAGAACTGTTCTCACCGGGGCAGGCGAGGCTTGGATGCACTGTGTCTAACCCATCCTGGGAGAGAAAGTGGGGCTTCCTGGGGGAGGGAGTTTGAGCTGATTTTTCAAGGTTAATTGCAGGTCTGAGGTTAAACGTGGGGGGGGGGCATGTTCCAGGCAGAGGGAAGGGGCTGTGCAAAGACCTTGGGGTTTGCAGGCCTGGGGTGCAGTCCGGGGCTTCGAGGAGGGGCAGGGCTCAGGGGTTCACAGGGCAGGCCACTCGGTCCCTTCCAGGAGCACCACAGGCTGCAGCCACAGCCTCTGACGGCAAACCTGCCTTTAGAATCCCCCACCTCCGGCTGTAACTCAGAACCGAACTTGTCACCAAGGGGGGCTGAGGCTGCCACTCCTCTGTGGGTATTAAATTGAAAAACTTGGCCTCATTAGCTAATTGCTCATATGGTTATATAAGACTTATTTTATTTTTTATGTTTAAATTTTTAATCCATCTTTTTACATCTGGAAGGACAATCTTACTTCCTTCCAGATACAGTTACTTCTGCCACTAATCACTCATTAAATACAGAACTCTTTCCCCAGCACCCTGCAATACCCTTCCTGCTGTGCGTTCAATTCCCACCAGACCCGGGTCGGCTGGGGGGCCGTTCCAGCCACTCCTATTCTTGTTTGTTCTGGGCTCATCCTGCGTGAAGTTTCAGGCTCTAGAACGGGTTCTGCTCTCTCTGTGTCAGTTCCTTGTAATGTATAAAACAGTCCCGCAAAGCACCCAACGTACAGGAGACACTAAGCAAATGGGGGTTCACTTTTCTTTCTCCTGAGAATGAACCCCAAAACCAAAGAGCTCAAAACTGTTTTAAATTTTGCATTGACTCAGATGTTTCGAGGTGCGCAAATGCCAGCAAGTTCAGATGAAGCAGAAAGTGTAAAAGTCATCACCCAGAGCTTGAGCAGCACTTCCATCTCTGACGTTTACACTCACAAGCTTATGGTCAAAGACCACCTGACACCACGTGCTCGTCCACACAACTGCCTCTTCGGGGGCCCTGGGCCCGCCAGCCACCCCCAAAGGTAGGCTTCTGCTGTCCTGCAGCTTTCCCTCCCCTGGCGGCCGCCCTTGGAAGCTCCCCGGGAACTGTTGCTTCGGAGTCTCTTCCTCTGGGGCCCTGAGACCAGTGGCAGGAGCTCCACTGGACGATGAGTACGAGTTCGCTCTTCCCTGGGGCCAGAGACCATGAATCCCGCTGTCACGGCTCAGGTTCTGACCCCTTTGCCAGTAATTCACATTTAGCAAACATACCCTCACGCCCACCTTAGCACGAATTCTTTTATTTGTAAGTCCAGTGCTTATATTTAGAATAACGAGAGGTTTCTTTTAGGAACCTTAAATCTTTTATACTTAAAGAAAAGTCTCAAATGTAAGACATTTACTTTAGAACCAACAGAAGTTACCAAACTGACTTATTGAAGAGAGAGTGAGCTAATTATTTTATAATACTTTGTTTACACTTAGAATCAGTACTGAGTTTATAATTTTCCCTCTGTCCTCCCACTTCCCCCCAAAGTGCACACTTTCTTCAGGTTGAGGCCTCATGAAGATTACAGAATATTAACTAATCAAAAACTCAGAGGTTTGTTACAGTCCCGTCAGCTCTTGGAAGCTGCTTTCCGGCAGTGAACAGCTCTTCAGGCCATAGCAGCGAGCCCCGGGGAGGGGCGCCAGGGGTCCCAGCTCAGCGGGAGCCCACTGACGGCCACCCTGCACTCTGCACACAGGCAGCCTACTCCTTCCGGTGGGACCAGGGTGGGAGAGACGGGGTCTCCCTGGTACAGAGCTCGGACTGGACACAGCTGAGCCCTGAGCTCTCTCCCCCAGAGCTGCCCCTCAATTATTCAGGAAGCAATTACCCATTTTGTCAATTAGCCAGACCCTATCTTTCACCTCCTGCTGCTCAGCATCCGGTTCTTTCACTGCTCATTAGCACCATCAGGAGGACTGTGCTGTGCGTGAGCAGAAAATGAAGTTCATTGACTAAGTGGTGTGACTCGGAGGAAGTCTGGGCAAGGAATAATGAAGAGAAGCTAGAGCGTCTGGCCAAATCAAGAGCGCAGATCAAACCATGTGCCCATGTTTTTCCCGGTGCTCCTATTCCCATGAGCTACTGTCCCCTGGGTCACCGAGGCCTGGCCCTCCATGCCCACCCTCTCATGACGCACACCGCCGCCTCCACGTCCCCACCCAGACTCAAGGAAGTCTCGGCTCATAAAAACCCATCTGTGAAGGTCGGCAAGAACCAGACATTCTATGTGGTTGTCCTCCTTGAATTGCGTTTAGAATAAGTACTATAGCAATTAAAAACTTTTTTCCCCCAACATGACAAAGTGATTTTTAGTGAATTTAATGTAGCGCGAATACATTAAATTTTAGGATTTCTGTCCAATGTTTACATTAAGTGACAGGATGGCATATTGTTAGGAAGTTGCAGAGTTAGGAGAGATGGACGGGTCATGCGCCATGGTTTGTGACCATTTCAGTATTAGGTATCCAACCTCACAGCTTGGAAATGAGGAAAGACGAGGTGCATAAAACAGATGGCAAAGCCTTGACTTGTCCGCTCCTACTTCTCCTTTTCCTTCCTAACCTTTCTCAGTGAAGCCAACCTCAGCAGAAGGAGGCCCAGGCCCCGGTCCTG